ATGGATCAATATGTCCCCCCATATGTTGGGTTGTGCTGGTGGAGAAATCTGAGCACTGCAGGTGCGATCCCAACGTCCCTTTACCACATCAGTGAGCGCTCCTTGGGAACAAAGATCCCATTTCTCTTTATCAGGACTGCTCCTTTGTTCCAGGGTACTAAATATCTGAAGGAAACTATAACCTGTTTCAAATTAACTTATTTTTTATTATCTGATCACTCAGTTGAACAAAATTTTTGGCTCTTCTTCATAGCCTCAGCCATGTGCAGTGCTCACCTAATCAATGAGTGAAGCTTATTTTATCCATTACTTATTTTGTTATTGGCTACTACAAATCAAGAAGGGAAAAGACAAGACAGACCTGCATAATCAGACGTTTGAATTCAGTTTTCTGAAAAACCCTCTGACTTCTGTGCTGCACAGCACCACAAGCTCATAAAACACTGAAGAATCCAGTGTAGCACACAACAGCTGTACCGCATAATTACTTGGCCCAATAGCAGTAGTTTTAAAATACTGGTATATATGTTGCAGGCCACCATACATTATCATCTTATTTTCAATAAAAAGTCTGGGATGCTTCAGACGAGCTTCAATGGAATTAGAATCATGTGTGCTTTGAAATATTTATGCTTGCCTTGAGATGGAAGGATAACTTCTGCCTCCAACCCCCACACAAAATAACAGATTTAATAACACCAGATAGTCCAACTCCTCCATACCTACAGCAGGTAAAATGAAGTTCTGATCTGGAATACACATCTTTTCGTAGGTTGTAGAACTTATACTTTATGTCATTTACTGAGGTCAATAATAAAATATAAATGTCACAGGCTGAAAGACGTCAGGAGAAATATGGTTTGGCAGGATGGAGATGCTTAGAGATACATAAATAATAAGTCAATAAGTAAATAAATAATAGACAAAACCTATTTTATCTTCCATTTGAAGATCTCAAAGAATTTACAGTCACTGATTAAGACTTGTAATATTCCATAAGTAGTAGGAGCCTCTTCTCATACAGAGGAACATTTGCATCACTGTAGGTGTGGTTTTGGGAATTAATGACTATCATTTTTGTTAAGAGTTTCTGAAAATCATGACCAAAGGGGCATTTTAGAGGCAAACAAGGAAAACAGCAACCTGTTCTATTATCTCTCATGCTTTAACTGATTCAAAATATTTGTGAGGATCCCTATATTTGGAAATGCAGTTGTGTTCTGTGCTCAGAACTTGTCTGAGCAGCCAGTTTTGCACTCATCATAGTTGCTGACCGCAACACAACCATCAGAGTAATGGTCTGTATCTGGGCCAACAGTTTTTAGACTTAAGCATTTAACTCCCTCTCTCTAGTAGCAGGCAGGCACATTTGTAATGTTGATCAGTTTAATAGTAGTGGATTTTTCCTCTCACCAAACAGCCCCTCCTTTTGCCTCTTGAGAAATTTGGTATTTCCCAGTCAGAAGCTGCAAAAACAAACCTTTTGGAGATCCGTACTCCACTCATTACTTCTTATGCCAAGAAGAAAATGACCCCTCCATGTCAGTGTATGGCACAGACTGGGGACTGATGCCTATTTGGTCTGGTTTCTTTCCCCCAGTCCTTCCTGTGGTCAGCAGAAAGCCCTCAGCTGTGCTGAGGGGTTGGCCAAGACTCTGAAGAGGAACGACTTTCTTCTTCTTGCAGCACTTTGCTGAATTATTGCTGCTTATTTCTGCATTCATTTTTCTTCTCTCTCTCTTTGGGAAGATCAGTGACACATGATTTCCACTTTGTTTTCTACCCTCACATGCTGAGGAGGTCAAGGCAACAGAGAAAGACTCACTACTTACATGCCAGTGAATATTTCTTTCATCTTTCATAGAGCAAATCAAATTATTAAATGAAGACCCACACCTTGGAAAAGCTAAATGTAGTGTGGTCTCAGGCCTATTTCCTTTTCACCCAGAGAAAGAATAGGAATTAGTTTGTTCCCAGATATGTACAAACAACAGTGCAGTTGCATAACAATTTCAAATAGTATTAAAAGAGCTGACACTAAAAGGAAATTTTAAAAAAATATATTTCTAAAATCCCAATCTGTTTTTTTACTAAATTAGATGTTTTCCACATAAATTTCCATTTCTCACTTGTATCTTCATCCTTCATACTCCATTTGGCACACAAGGAAAGGGGAAACTACAAAAGCAGATAGGAAGAAAGAGAGGAAGAATATGTTTTATATTAAAAAAAATAGAAATATTGTATGCTAATAAAAATTTTGTTGTAGTCATCAAAACACTTACTTGCTGACAACTTCAGTTAAACCGATATTCAGGGCAAAATGTTTTTAGAGGAGCTCTAAAACGACTGTTGTTTCCTGGAAAAGGTTATGATACCTTCATACCTGTGAAGTGGCTCTGACTTGAGTGTCATTAAAGTGGTTCCACCTCGGGGGTTGGTGCAGGTGAGATCAGAGGTTGCCACTTTGGGTGGAATTCACCTAAATGAAGGTGTGTACATAGACTGGAGGTATCTACCTCAGAGCAGTACCAGTGGCCTCCCTGCACATCCACCAGTGCGCCAGTCAGTGTGGTCAGTGAAGTCCAGTCAAAGGCAGGGGTCTGTTTTGGGATAAGATGAACAACTCATTAGACACTGTTTGTTCTGTTTAGTTCTCTGTTGACTCTAATAATTGGCTCCACGGTAGACACAGTTCCTGAGGGAAATCCCCCATTATCTCTACCTTTAATAGCACACTTCAAAGTTACAGCCTCTCCCAGGAGTTTGGGGACAGCCTTTATTTCTTCCTTTGAAGATTTGGGTTCTTTATCTGAAGAGTTTTCAAGTATATTGTGATTTAAGATGCAAACTCAGAATGAAACTATTTGTCTTAAAAGTGAATAAGAAATAATTAACAAGGTTTGTAAAAAACACAGGAGATAAGTCCAGATGTGCAGACAGGTTGAACAGGCTGGGCACACAGGTGTTTGCCTTGGCCATGGAATAACTGTCAACATTTCCATAACGAGGAGTGTGGGATATGCTGCTTCTTGTTTCCTTTTCCCAAGTGCAGCGTTGCAGACCTGGCACAGCTGTGGGAAGACACCGTTTTTCAGCTCAGCCCACATGCCACGATATCTGGGTGTTATAAGATAGGTATAGCCCGTGCTTTCCAAGGAGTTTCTCTGGATATCCATCTGCTTCCACCAGAGACAGCTGAAGGCTGCATGTCTTTTGGCTCCTCATCTCTATGCTTTCTTTCTGTGGTGTTTTTCCATTTATTACCACACATTTAGTATGTGTTTCTCTCTCTGTTGTGAACAGTATTAAAGGGACCACATTTGTGGGGTTAACATGGATACAGGGGAGCTTTTCATGGCAAGACCAAGACCTTCATATCCATCCCATACCAACACCCCTGGCATGAGTGTAGTTCTTTTTGGGGGTGGTGTTAAAGCAACCATTCCTATCCCATCATGGAGAAGGAAGAGCATAGAAGTGCTGCCCAGCCAACCCTTAATGAATGCTTACAGGCTAATGCAGTAGTTTCCTTGCTGCTTTCTCAGAGTACATGTTTTATCCACATCTTCAGGCTCTTGAGTTTGCTAATGGTTTAGTAATGCTTAAGAAAAAAATTATTAATAAAGTGTCATATTATTAAACTGGCAATGAACAAGAGTAAGAAGCAGATTTTAGCTTTTATTTAACTGAAGGTTTTTCATAACATTCATCATGAAATGAATGTTTACTCATTTTTGTTTGATTTTAGTTAACTTTCCTGTATCTCTCCAATTTTTCTGGGAGTGCCAAAGGCTTTTTTTTTCCCTCTTGTGTATTTAAGGTACTTCAAAGCCAACACATGGGCTCCTGTAGGATATTCCCTCCCCGGCATGGCCTTTATCTAATTGGTTATGTGTGGTGTACAAGTGCAGTCTATGCACATGGTCACCCCTCAAAGATTCCTAGGATAACGTGCCAAGGGAGCAACAGGAACACAACAATGACTGTTTGGTGAGAAATAAATCATGATTTACAGATGACCTTGTGCACACCAGATTACTGGTCATTATAAATGAAAAGTGAATTCTCATTTTAGAGGGGAAGGGGACTGTAAGTGGCAGCAGTTGCTACCTCGTGGTGAAAACTAACAGTGGAAAACACTACTGACTAACAAGGGTCCAACCCCATACATTTTGAAGGCCAAGGAACTGGGCAAAGGTGTCACGTAATGCAGGAGAGCAAAAGGCTCTTCAGCTGCACTCGTAGTTCTGCTGAAATCAGCTGAGGGTAAAATCGGTCATTGCCAATGGGCTTGTGTACATCACACCTCTACACCTTCTCTGGAGTACATTTTCCAGCTGGCTTGTTGGCCCATAAATTTACCAAATTAAACTTCATCCCTGAATGCAAGCTAGGGGCTTGCTGAAGATTTGAGGATAACATTATTCAGGAGAAATGTAAATGTAATTTTCCAAACGATCTCACCACTTTGTGCATGTTCATTAGATGAAAACACGTTACTTAAAATAAATGTTCCTAAACTGAGGTGGGAAAAAAACCCCAACAACAAGAAACGTTAGACCATCTTTAAATTATCGACCATTTATAGTACAATATAAAAGGGATTCATATGTGCAAATCCAAGTTACATGAAATGTCAATTAAATCAACCCTAATCTCCCAAATACATTTTTTTATTGCCTGATTGATGAGGGCTGCTTTCAAGGTGATGAATAGTTTTAGGTCTCACAAAGGACTGCTGATTCCTTTATACGTGTCCACTAAAAATACAGAAAATTCTTCAAAATGTCTGGCTCCATTTGCTTCCTGGGTGTAGATGGAGTGAGTGTAGGACACAATGTGGTCAAATATATTAATTGTGAAGATCAGATGTATAAACAATACTGTATATTAAATTAAAAAATAATAATAATTTTTAAAAAAAATATAGTAGATTTAAACTGTTTTATTTTCCGAAGGCAAAACTCTATATAATGTCTTTGTTTTCTTTCCTATAGCAAGTCCACATGCAACACCATCGACTCTTCATTTTCCAACATCACCCATTATTCAACAGCCTGGGCCATACTTCTCACACCCAGCAATCCGCTATCATCCTCAGGAGACTCTGAAAGAGTTTGTCCAACTTGTCTGCCCCGACGCTGGTCAGCAGGCTGGACAGGTGGGGTTCCTAAATGTAAGGAAGCCGTTTTTCTTTCTTCAGAAGTGTTTGTCCTATGTAAAAAATTAACCATGGGATTATTTATGGGGTTATTTTAACAGCATGTTGCGTGCAGGAGCACACCTGGAATAGTTGCTGGAAGGAAAAAAAAAATTAAAAATATGCTGCTACTGCAAAAGTATTTTAAAAAACAACATGAAACCTCCCCAAAAAACCACTCGACCACATTGTGGTGAAATTAGCTTAAACTGTCAGAGAAGCTGGTGCTACAGTGACCTTTTGGGTCCCCCCACAAATGACTTTGCTGCATGTGTTGTAACCCTTGTGCAACCAGGGTTAACCAAATATGAAGGCAGAATAATTTTTATTAATTATTTTTGAAGTTCAGGGGAGAGTGGGGGGGGAAGGAGCAGGAAAAGGGAGGGTGAGAAACAGATGTTTCAGATCAGCTAAGTTCATTAAAAAAAAAAAATACTGCCTTATAGCACTTTAGATCAAGTTGACCAGTACTTGAACTCAAGATGTTAAAAGTACAGTTTATTATGGTTTGTTATTTCTGTAAGCAGTTATCTTTTCCCCTTATCTCTATGAAAAATTAAGCAGAGTTCTAAAGCTTCAAATAACTATTTTCATTTTTTAATCAAATAAAGTGAATCATCTTGCTATTATTGAAATAGCATTCCAGTTGAATACAGAATTTATAAATTTTATGTAAATCAAATCTAAAAAAATGCTCTGAATATTTCATGAAATGTAATGCATGTAACTTTTTCCAACCAGTGAAGTAATAACTGGCAAAATTACTGTTTCTCTCCTGACATACGTACAACTGAAAGTGTTAATGAGAATTAGTTTAATTATTAGCATCTAATTTATTACACTTATTTAATAAGCTGTATTGTTCTCAGTGTTTTCCTTTCCCCAGCAGAAAAACTGACTCTATTTATTCCAGCTAGTCCTGGCTTTGAATAATGTCTGCAATATGTTAGCAGATACATTTATGTCTAGACAACAAATCAATACAGTGCTTTTCTTTTTCCTTGAGTATTCATTTGCTTAATTTATCCCAAACCATTCAGCATTATGAACTGTTAGCACACTCACAATGAACATGCAGCAGGGGTCTTCTTGGCAGGAAAGGGACCTAATTGGGAGACAAGATAGTGTTTGAGCGATGTCACTAATATATTAGTTTATTAAAGGTGCTGGATGTTGGAAAAATAAATATCCCTGAAGGATTGCTTCTTGCTGCAAACACTAGTAACTGCAGTCTTTGAAGTCTGTGGGAGTGCTGTTAAGTTAAATGCAGATGAATTTGAGTCTTATTTATGCCCTCAACCATTTTTGCTCTACCACAAGTGTGATTTGCACCTCCACAGCTTTAAGGCTTTTTGTCAGTGCCAAAACAGGTGAAATGAAAATGAGGTCCCAAGTGTTTTGCCAGGATGAGTATTTTGTCCCCAGTAATTCAGGCTAATGGAAACCATAACAGGAATTAAAATATTATTTTCTTTAGCAGTACTTAGAATATGGATCTGTGTTTAAAGCTGAGCTTTTATCATCAATGGAAAAGCCAATGCTCAGTGCCAGAAGAACTGCAGTGAGATCAATTTGCAGAGTGCTGTCGAAAATGATCTCATCATTTTTGTCACTAAAATGGAACACCTGATTCACAGCCTGTCCTACTTTCTCTTTGTAATGGTGTTTGGCATCTATCTGTATGGTTTTCAAGTGTCCAGGCTGAGTTACATATAAAATGTAAACTTAATAAGGTGGGGGAAGGGTTGGCATGTTTTTCTAAGCCTGCTTCTTGTTTTTGTGATACTTGAAAACACTTTTACTTATGGACACATTTTTCTGGTGATTAATTGAAAGACCACACTTGTGTAGCTCAGCCCCTTCAGCCTGTGACTGACCACATCCCAGACTAAAGGGAGGGTGTTTTTTTTTCCCCAGTGTATAAAATGAAGCGGTTCTAAGTCCGGTCATTTTTCCATGTGATTCTAATGGCAACTAAAACATAAGCTGTACTATTGCTAACTCAAAAGAGATGTGGGAGAGCAATTATTTTAAAATATACTCATTCATTTTCCTGTAATAAGATATCAGCATGACTTTTAAGACCACCAAAAATGCTTGTTTTTTCTCTTAATGAGCAGTATCTTCAAGAAATTTACACTGAAGTCCTAGGCCCTGATATCCTAAGGGGATAACAGAGGCACAAAACTGGGGAGCTGGGGTCAAAAATCCTGCTTCACCTCTCACTGAGCATGGATTAGTGCTACAGGAAATGTAAAGAGGAGCAAAATTTAATCCAGGACAGTTCAGACCAGCTGCTAATGGGACAAATGTTTAAAAGCAAGAATTTCCATAGTTTCACAAGGTTCACAGAGTTTGGGACAAAGTTCCTTGAAGTCCAAAGAGAATTTGAGCCAGAACTTTCTTTGCCACCTCTCAAATAATACTAAATGTATTGCACATAGTTTTCAACTAGATTGTTATTACTAGAGGTTCCTGATAATAGCTGATTTTTAGTATAATTTCTGTGTTTGCTTGTTTTCCGGCAGCCCAATGGTAGCAGCCAAGGCAAGGTGCACAATCCATTCCTTCCTACCCCAATGTTGCCACCACCACCTCCGCCACCAATGGCTAGGCCTGTGCCTCTGCCAGTGCCAGACACAAAACCTCCAACTACATCAACAGAAGGAGGGGCCACCTCTCCCACTTCTCCAAGTAAGTATAGATGCAGCGGGAACCAAGGGCTAGTGGCCACGCACAACTGTTGGTCGCTACTCAGAGATGAGGAGTGGACTAGCTCTTGGGAAGCAGGAGAGCTCTCTGCTCTCCATATGATGGACAAAATTCTGAGCTGCTTCTGTGTTAGCAAGAAAAGCGTTAGCTTTAGGTTGCAATTTTATTTCTGACTTTGTGGGCATTTCATGTAACCGAGTGTGAGAGAAATCAAGGCCAGTAGCTAATCCGTGACACAGACCTCGGACCTTTGGAATCTTGTTTGTTGTCATAATATCCTGTATATGGAATGGTTCAAAGACAGACTGGATGGGCCTCTAAGCAACTTGGTCTAGTGGAAGATGTTTCTGCCTATGGCAGTGTGTTGGAACTGGAACTTTAAGGTCCCTTCCAACCCAAACCATTCTATGATTTTGTGTTAAGTTGGTGTCTCAAGCCAAGCTTTAGAGGATAGATCCTACATGGAAGTCAGACAGTCTTATCAAAAACATCTCTGTTTAGACATAACTAGGCTAAACTAACAACTCTTTCCAGTTTACTTCAGTTCTTTCGGGAATAAATCTTCCTAGATCAACCCAGACATCTTTCCCTTATGCCTTGCATTTTGGGCAAGAAGTTATGGTGTGTTTTAGGGTTAGGAGAGAAAGCTTTAATCCTCTCTCCACCACCCACACGGCTCCCATATGCATTTTGCGAAGCCACAAGTCAAATATGCGAATTCCTGGATACACACATGGGGATACCACTTTGGACTCACTCTTCTGGGAAACAAATGCAGTTCAGCTGTGTCTGATGCTTTAAAAAAAGTCTGGATGTTCAGGGAGTTAATTGTGAAATGATTTAATGAAGCTATGCTCAAACTGACATTTAAAAACAAAAGGGAAGCTTTCAGTGCTTTAATGGCAACTGTAGGGGACTTGTTCCACAGTGAAGGGAGTCCAAATAACATCCACAAACAAAAATCAATCTAATCGAAAGAGCAAATCCCTTTGTGTGCTTTTCAAGCTTATTATTTAAATGCTATATGCAACCACTGCTTGATGCGCAAAGAGGTACACACTATTCAGACCAAGTGAAGCCTACATTTTTAAAGCTTTATACTGTTCAGGAGATTTGCACAGGTTCCAGGGGGCATTTTTAAAATCTGGGAGTTCTCAGGGGTTTGCACTGCCTTCTGCTACACGATAGTGCGCAACTGCAAACTCAGCAAGATGCTCTGGCTTGCTTGGAAATTAAAATGGGTTTTAGTATGAGACAGTCTGGTAAGACTGTGAACATGATCTTCTAGAATCAGGTCTTCTTGAACTGATCAGCAGATTTTTGTTGAGCAAAGAAGTTGATTCATTCCCTCCCCTCTGCTCCTCTTTCTGACCTTAGACCAACACTTGTGCTATCAGGAGGTTTTGATGCTTTCTGATGGGAGATACCGTCTTTCAAGTCCTATCAATAAGATTCAGTAGTGGAATCTAAAAGGTTAATGTTTAGTCATAGTTATGACTGAATAAAGTCAGCAATGCGTATTATTTCCTTGTCTTCAGAACCGGGAAAAACAAAACTAGGTCAGTGTGTACTTGTCATTACAGTTGTGACTCAGTTTACTGGCAGTGTCTGGTGTCGAAAAGAAAAAAATTCCCAACATCATTTTAGCAGTAATCTTAATACTTAGTGTTTATGATAATGTCATTGTGTAAACAAGCTCAATGTGTGTCTGGCCTGATTGTCAGATGGCAGAAAAACGGGCATTTCTCCACTGAAGTGAGCGGAACACCCATCAGTGTCAGCTGGGGCTGGCCACTGGGCTCAGTGTTCAGCAGACAGCTGCCACGTTAATTGGGAATCGAGGTTTTCTCAAGAGCAGCCAGTTAATGGTATTTAAACAAAAGATTAGGAAAATAATTACTGTTTGTTAATTAGCTACGCTGATGTCTAAACATATAGTTCTGTGCATATTCAGGCACGCATCTTCCTTTTGGTAAGGGGCTTGAATAACAGTGACTTGAGTTGTAAGGAAGCATATAATTTAATTTAGGGACGAATTTTACAGAAAAGTAGATTATAGGAAACATTTTTTAAGAAAAAATATTACATGTACACCAAAGCCAGTAGAAGTATTTGCCACGTGAAGAATAAAGCAAACTGAAGTTTCAAGCCCCCACCGTGAGGGTTTGCCAGAAGGACCCACTGGACTCCATTCAGTGTGTCAATCAGGACCAACCCTCCATTTCCCCCAGTGTTTATTTTTTCCTTAACTAAATATTAACCTTCAAATAGCAAGTGCAGATTCACCAGAGTTCCATAAAAGCCGCACAAAAAGGTGTTTTCCATGGTTACGAGCTGCTGGAGCGCACCAGTTCTGGGAGTGTCTCCGGGCTATGGCTGACTGCCCTGCAGAGCTTGAGGATATTGGAAAGTCACTTATGCAACAAAGGCGGGAGTGATGTTAAATTTTGGCCAGACTCTCTCCTTAGTTGTATGGAGGAGAATGAAGCCCCCCCCCCCTCCAAGGAAATGGAGTGAAAGGGGTTGGCATTTGCTCCATTCTCCTTCCCTTTTTTGGTCTAGCAGAAAGCCCTCAGCAGAAACAAAATGCAGTCACGGCCCAACCAAAAATTGGAATATGGCCCTCCTGAGGGGTGCAGGAGCCAGGAGCAGCTGTTCAATACAGCATGGCCTCCTGGGAACGAGAGCTAAAAATCACAACAAGGTGGTTAATGATTCTCAGAGCAATAGTGAAACTCTCCAGCTGTGACATTAACCAAAACATGAACATTAATGCTGTCCAAGGAAGGAAGAGCCCCTGGAGATGCACACCAGGGATTTGATGCTACTGGGTGGCCAGACACACTCTGGGAGTTGAAAATTTCAGATGCGAATCCTATCCTTTTCAAAAGCCAGCATTTTCCTCACTGAGATGACACGATAGAGATGGGATTCATGAGGTTTGGGGGGTGTCATTCTTCCTCCATAAAAAGCTTTTTCAATAGAACACATCTTTGATACCAGAAACAGACCTAAAATTATCTTATCTCAGATCTCTTCTTGTTTTTCTTTGGTTTGCAACCCTTAACAAGCACAACATAGTATTTTCCTGACCTTAACGGTTTTGGGGTTTATCTCACTGCCCAAAGCAAACACCACCTCCACTAGATGCCAGTTGAACTTTAGCACTATCATAACTGAATCAGAATGTTAGAATTTGTGGCCCTCATTCCAGTGTAGAGTCTGAGATACTGCCATCCTGTACACCCTGACTTTTAAAAAGCTTTTTTAAACTAAATGTTGTTTTCTAAGATTCACAACTCTTTACAACTTTAACAAACTCGTTATTGGTTAATGTCCCTTTGCACGAAGTAGTTTTCATGTTAAACAGTATTTGTGTCAGGATGAGGAGAATGATCTTGTGATGGTAGTACTGGATTCATAAGGCCAAGTGCCAGGTACTGCCCTTGGGTTACAACAACTCCCTGGAGCACTCCAGGCTTGGGACAGAGTGGCTGGAAAGCTACTGGGAAAAGGACTTGGCGGTGCTGGTCAACAGTGGTTGAATACGAGCCCAGGTGTGCCCAGGTGGCCAAGAAGGCCAATGGCACTTGGCCTGTACCAGCAATAGTGTGGCCACAGGACGAGAGCAGTGAGCAGCTCCCGGTGCTGGGCACTGCTGAGGCCACACTTCAAATCCAGTTGAAAGACACAGAGGAGCTGGAGCATGTCCAGAGAAGGGAATGGAGATGGGGAGGGGTCTGAAGAGTTAGTCCTGTGAGGAGCAGCTGAGGGAGCTTGGAGGGCTCAGCCTGGAGAAAAGGAGGCTCAGGGAGGACCTTCTCGCTCTCTGCAACTCCCTGACAGGAGGGTGGAGCCAGGTGGAGGTCGGGCTCTGCTCCCAGAGAATAAGGGATAGGACAAGAGGAAATGACCTCGTTGCACAGGGGAGGTTTAAGTTGGATACGAGGAAAAATTTCTTCACAGGAAGAGTAGTCAGGCACTGGAACAGGGACAGTGGTGGAGTCCTCAACCCTGGAGGGATTTAAAAGCAGTGTGGATGTGGCACTTGGGGACATGGGTTAGTAGTGGCCTTGGCAGTGCTGGGTTAGTGGTTGGATATAATGATCTTAAAGGTCTTTTCCAACCTAAACAATTCCATGATTCTGTAATGAGATTGAATTTCTCTCCCTTTCTCTGCTACGCATTGACTGAGCACCCTCTGGGCAAAGCCATCTGAGCTTTCTGTTCGCTCCTTTCCCCATCCATAAAAAAGAGGGTGATGATGACTGCATCATTTAATTTGCTAAAATTTGCAGTTCCCTCTAAGATCCTCATCTGCAGAATGCACTGCAGTAGGAATTGCTGTTTTGCACCCCGTTGCTTCAGTTCATCCTCTCGCCACAGCTCCACAGTGGCTAAACTGACTCCTGGTCTCTTGAGAAACAGGACAACTCTTCATATCAAACACATGTACCTGTCATCTTGGTCTGTAAAAGAGAGACCTGGTGGTACATTAGGTCATCACTTACCCAAATCATCCTTACCAACCAGAAGTTAATCCTTTTAATTCAGAACTGTCTGATAAACTACACACTCCTATACCTAATAGCAATTATTTCAGGAAAGTATATTTTAAATTAACATTTTCCTGCTGAAGGCAACTTTAAAATACATGAAATTCCCAAAACTGTTTGTTTGTCTTGTCTTTTATGCAATTTCTTGCCATTTTGGTTAAGTATCAAAGCTGTCTGTGTGAGCAAATGTTCTTTCTCTGCCAGTTCCTGTTTTCCTTGTTCCTGAAGTGAAGCATCATAGCAAATTTGTGGTATCACATTCATTTCCTTGGCTGTGGGCTAGGATGTTGCAGACAATCCTTAGTGAATTTCAGTAACAAAAAGACTAGGCTGGACAGGAAGATGTTTCTATTCATGCCCAAAGGGACAGATATCAGCTGGTGTAAACTAGTATAGATATATGCAATTCCCATGGAGCAAAGCTGATAAGATCTGGAGAAGATCTGCCTAAGAGACCTGGCTCCTGTTCCTTGTTCCTTTCCATGCTTTGGCCTTTCCCGGATTGGAGTTTGAAGACTCCACCGTAGGCTTAGCTTGTATGTCTGCTGTAATATAATACAAGCCAGCTTTAACCTGTGATAGCTGCTTGCCCCAGCCTAATCTCAGAGCAGAGTCTAGGGATCAAAATTCCAGGTATTCCACCTCCATGTCAAAAAAGGGTATTTATATGAAGACAATAAGACAGAGTCGAAATTGTGTTGCTCATGGTCTAAGCAACACTTGGTGCTACTCCCTTTTCTGAGCCTAATAGGAGTCACTGCTGATGAGTATTCCATCTAAATTTAATATTCCAAGCCAAAACGGCCCCTTACAGTCTGCAAACAAGTCAGGATATTTTACAGTGAAGTGGGACTTAGGAGAGTCCAGTGTAAATCCTCTGCATATATGTAGTTTTGGTACTCTTCCCCCCTTGGCTCTGGCAAAGCGGTTATATGACCTTAAGAAAATACTAAGCTGACATCCGAGTGTTTTCAGAAAGCAAGTTAAATGTTGTTTGGAGTGGAAGAAAGGTATACATAGCAACTAACCCAGCAAGCTTTGAGGGGACTTTTGTGCATATTACACAGTTTTCGAATGCTTTTGAATTTTTGTTTGAACAGAGAAGCCATTTAAGTCAGCATTCTGCTGGTTTCCCTTTGATTTTCCACCAAATATCACAGCAAAAGTATCTGCCAACGGGGAACTGTAAACAAGATCTTGAGTTCCTTCCCTTCTGAGTGGAACTTACCTGCTCCAAGGGATTAAATGGCCTCTCCACTCAATCTGCTTCCTTAAAAGTAGACCAGAAGTACCAAACAACAGATGTTTGATTTTTTAGCTTTAAGTTAATTTTCCCCAGTGCAGAAGGAAGTTTTAGTCTTTCAAAACATTAGTTCATTAGTTAGCTAAAAAAAAATACCTCAGCATAAAGCAGTACAGAAGAATTTTAATACATGGCACTAAAAACAGAGTTGCAACCATTTGTAAATGTGTGGCTTCTTTGAATTATTAAGAAATTAGCATGGTAAAAGGTGAGAAGAACATCTCACTAGATCTACTCAGTTCATTTCTTCCTTGATTTGCAGGTAGGAGTAACACCCACTGTACCTGTTTATACTCAAACACTTAAGCTGCATCACAATTTGCAAAACCATCTCAGAAAGATGAATTAGTGCACTTAAAAATTCCTTTAAAATTATGTGAAGGAGAGGTGTTTCTTGCATGATTTTTGCAAGTGTTAGCTTCTGGGAGAGAAAAGCTCACCTCACCAGAAACAAGTGGGAAGAATTCATTCTAAGCCAGGAGTGTTTTATCTCCTCTCATATCAGTAGGAAATGAAGATATGTAGTTCCTGGGGTGATTTCAGGGAATGCTCTCTGAGAAAGGGAAGCTGTCTGATGTAATTGTAAGGACTAGGAGGCATCACAAGACATTTGTGAGACTTGGGTAGGCAGGGAAGGGAAGGATATGGATCTGGGTGCTCCCAGACTTGGGAACTTATCACCCGAGGGCTTTGTGGGATGCAGAACATTCACATGGGTTGAAGGGCAGAGAGGGCATTCACCTGTGAGAAATCCCTTGAGGGCCATTAAATAAAGGGAGCCCCTGAGCTGAAAATAATCAGAGGTGGGAAAGAAGAGAAGAAAGTAAATGTGTGACTGGTTTTGGCAGTTCCCTGTGTAACTGCTTATGGTCTTCAAGAGACATGACAGTGGGTAAGGTGGAGCATTGATCTGGCTCAACATGGCCTTAAACCAAAAGCTGTTCCAATTTAATCCCTCTTCACCAAATATTTGCCTTCAAAAAGGCAACAGCGTTTGCTCTACACAGCCAACTCAGTGTCTTCTCGGACTCTTAACTTGCTTTATTTTTGTGTAATGTTGAGGCCTGAATATTATATTTAGCCTGACTGGGATTTGGCAACTAACTTTCCTTTTAACAGTGGTTTTTGTCTCTTCACTGGATGGTTAGATTGTCTGGGGATTTTATTCAGCAGAATGCATTCCCATAAATATATTTAAAATAGACAGGATCCCTGTTTGTATTAAGGCATCCATTTGGGTTGTTTGAATTTAGATCTAAACATGCAAAAAACTGAAGAAGGGAGAAGATTGCGTGGGGGGGTTTGAAGTGAGAGGAAGACTGAAAATGCATTGAAAGCTTTTTGGATATGGAAGTACGTGGCATTGTGGACAGTTGCAGTGGAGAATATAATGCAACAATAAAATCATTAAAGTACTTCAAGTTTGGAAGTAATCTGGGTTCTTGGCTTGCATTGCATTTAATAGCTTTACATTTATGGGAGCCACTCCAGTTTTTAAAGGCAGCTTCAGCCTTCAGTCTGATTGCACTTACCACCCCAGTGAAACTGCAACCCATTAATTTTTTACCAAAAGGATCTTCCTGGTTTGTCAAACACATCAAGTGAACATTTTAGAGAGTGCAGACCACAGCAGTATGAAAACCAAAACTTTATATCAAGAGAGAATGCTGGATTAGCATGAAATAATGGTCTGATTCTGTTAATATGCACTTGGGTAAATTCATTGCTATACAAAACTCTGTTAAAAATAAAGATACCAGACATTGGCATGAAAACAGTCAGGACCTGCAGAAGTCTCCTGTGCCAGCCCATCATGGAAAGGCCTGCAGTGGTTCTCCTTCAAGCTGGAGAGCTGCACAGGTGGTCCAGCATGCCCGTCCCTGAGCCCGCATCACGGCCGCCCCCTCTCCCAGCAGCCCAGTCCCCTGCGTGTTTATATCCTCACCTTTGAGACCAAACCTTTCCAGTGTCTAAAACCAAACTCTCGCTCTCTAAAACGTTTGCACATTTCTATGTTGAACATCTGCTTAGGTGGCTCTGAGACAGTGTGTTTTGGTGTTGTTCGTGTGCAATCTAGTGCCGCTTCCTCAACGCATGTGTCCCTTCCCTTCACAGCCTATTCGACACCCAGCACCTCCCCCGCAAACCGATTCGTCAGTGTTGGACCACGGGATCCAAGCTTTGTAAATATCCCTCAACAGACTCAGGTGGGCCGCTTTTGACTTCTCTGTATGCCTGCAGCCTCTTCTTCTTCTCCAGTGTCCTCTAACGTGTCCCCGCGGAGCAGCTGCATTGCCGCTGTCACTTCACCCACATGGTCTCAGTAACTACAGTGAAATGTCACTTGCAGTTTGTTTGTCTGTTGTGTTTTTTTTGGGCTTGTGTAGTAATAATGCTGCTTTCGTAACTGGAAAGATCCCTCTTGCTTTCTAAGATACTGGCTTTCAGCGCGCAGTTGTTTCCGCTAGGACTGGGGTTTCAAAGAATTTGGCTCCAACCTGCTCCCCAGGCACTGCATTTAATTGTGTTTAGATTAGATGGTAGGAAGAAACTCTTCCCTGTGAGGGTGGTGAGGCCCTGGCACAGGTCACCCAGAGAAACTGTGGCTGCCCCATCCATGGAAGTGTCCAAGGCCAGGTTGGACGGGGCTTGGAGCAACCTGGTCTGGTGGAAGGTGTCCCTGCCCATGGCAGGGGGATTGGAACAAGATGATCTCTAGGGTCCTATCCCACCAGACACAATGGGAGACTGCTCCAATGATTTCCATGGAAAAAAATACTCAAATTCCTGGTTGGCCATTTGCATGGTGGGCTTTGAGCGAGCAGGAGATTTTTTAATTGCAAGCACATCTGTTTCCTTACACAAAGAGAAAAAAGTCCAGTTGAGGCAGGCCTATAAAGCCAGGTTAGCTGAATTCATAGTCCTGCTATGGTCAAATCAGAAGCTCAAGTAAACATTTGTGTTTCTTTAGGAGAAGGACGAGGTTTAAATGTGCGTTTTCCAAGCTGTATCAGATTCCCAGGGTCGATTAAGAAAATAGTTGTTGGCAGTTTTGTTAGCAGCTAATTTGAGCCAGATGTTGAAAAAATTAAGTCTGTGCTTAATATCACGTTATCATGGCGGGGGGAGGAAGGTATAAAAAAGTGAGCAGAGCCAGTACTTTAGGACAACTGTAGTTTGAAGAGGTTGCTTGACTACATTACAATTATTTTAAAGGTCAGCGACACAAAATATTTGTAATTTTGTTTTGAGCTGGTTGCAATGACTAAAAAAGTAATAATTCAAATAACTAGAAAACTACGGAGTACTACCCTTAACTCTTATAAGTTCTTTCAAATCATTTATAGGCATCTGAATAATTAGTGTACAGATTAATGGCGGTCACATGTCACAGTAGATGCACGAAGACAGACTCTTCATTGTGATGGCTTCGGCACCTTTGCTGTCACCGAAACACAAGTCACTCGCCCCCAAAAGATTTTCAGTTTACAGAGCTGCAACCAGCTGCCTGTGAACACAATGCATTTTCTTGCTGTCTGCTATTTGTGTACCATTTGTTAGGGGCTTTAGTTTATAGCTCTGTGCACAGCACAAGTTAAACTACATCAAATCTCAAACCTTCTCTGCATTAAATAGGGTCACAGAAAGTACAGCAGCGATGCAGAGAGGGGTTTAACCCATCAGATCCTGGGGGGGGTTTTCCATGCCTTAACAAAACACAGACTGCACCCCACTTTTCAAGTCTCTTCCTTTATTTGGTTCATGTACCTGACAAGTTTTCACACACCCTCACATTTAAATCATATTTCTCTGGTCATTTTGGAAACAACTGGAATACACAGAAATACACTGAAATCGGGAAACAGGAATGTTAAGGTATACTGCTCAGGAAACCTGAAACCCTTTGGAGAATGCAACTTACCTTCTCCAGAACACTTGAAAAACTACTAGTTGGTAAATTGATTATGTAGTAAGACACAAGAGTATTAATCTCAAAAAATATTTAAAACTTATTCGCATCCTGCAGCCTAAGTTTCTCAGATAAGTTTGTTGTCTGTAAACTTTTATCCTTCTTATTTATGGCTTAAATAATTTTAAAGTGCTCTAGCGTTTCTTTAAGTGCTTCCCTGTAATGCAGTGTAGTGAATAACAATGCTGTACAGTGAAAAACAATACTCAAGCACAGCTTTCAATTAAAGTCTAACATGCTGCAGTGGGGAAGGAGACTGACTCCCAGTCTCTGACTCCAGCTGCATCTCCATGCTTCTATACATCATTACACCACCACAACCCACTTGATACTAAATATATAATTTATCAGCAAAACTCACTACTTATTCATGAAAGAACTCAGAAGTTGACTGTGCTTTGAGTCAGAGAAGTGAGGTAAAAATGCTAACTGCAATGAATTGGGATTTACGTAGATTTCACCTAAACAAAGACAGGCTTTTGTGCTTTTTTTTGCAGGGCATTAGTGTATAGGACAATCACTTAGGATATATTCAAAATGAAAATATAAAAATACATTGGACTGTGTTATTAAAAGCAGCTGGGGTGGCTGCTTTCCATTAGGATCTTTATAGTACATCCAGAGCCAGGCTAAGATATGGGTCCTGAGGACCACTAACTGCCAGGGACACAGCTCCCTGAGACAAGAGGAAGCAGAGAACGCTGAGCTTCTGGAAGTCAGGTTTAAATAGAAAGGTTAAACAACTCTTTAATGCTGGATCAATAAAATAAAATGAAGATTGTGTCCGAACATCTGCTTTTTAAAACTTAGGGTCCAGCTATAAGCTATAGGACAATGTTATGGTCAGCTATGATGGCTCTGATATTTTCTTTCAGTTGGAACATTGGACTTCAGACACCAGTTGCACATCATCATCATTAGTCCTCAAATGCTGCAAAAGTGAGTCTGTGCACAGGGATGTGGCAGCCATGTGCAGCAGAAGCTGCAGTTTCCATGCATGGGCATTCACAGAACACTGGAATAAAATCCCAGACAAATGTACAGCAACATGGCCGGGTTGGAGCAAGGATCATTCTGTCCTGAGCTGCTTTCAAACAACCAAGCCCAGAACATGCCTTTCTTAATGGGTATTAACCAGTAAGAAAAATTAACAGTAGACATTCCCATTAGCAGTATGTTCTGATTTATGTCACATTCCATAAAATATAATCTCTTAAAGGAATTTTATAGAATTTATATGATATTTATGAAAAAACTGTCTTCCTGTGTCAGCAAAGGCTGTAGCAGGATGACCACTCCATGACAGAAGGGACCAGGAAATAAACTGCTTTAAGTCAGTAGTTCTGATTCAGCAACAAATGCCCCCAAAGGGCTGTTGGCTTTGTCTGGTTTTAGCAGCTTCCAAACTTTTCAGATGGTTTGTTTTTCCATACACTGCTTACTCCATCCATCACTCTGCCACTCCACTCACATAATTGTCCTATCTGGGGGGTTATTTGAATCTAAATTTCTGTTTGAGCTATTAGGAGCAACACTTGACTTGGCATCCCCTGTATATGTTGACAAAAAGGCACAGGTGTTGTAACCTTTGCTTGATAAATCATTTACTTTTGCTACTTGACTCGCAAGCAGTATGGGGGCCTTGGCTTTTTAACTGCCTTTTCCATATGCAAATCAGAAATACAGTATGCCTGGGGTGCATGGGCTTTAGTTTCAAAAGCAAGTTGGTCTGGATACCTCATGACTAAGTAATAGATAAGTCTCTCATATTGCCAAGGACTTGTAATAAGGAGAGTGGTAGAGGGATGGGAAAGTACCATCACATTAATTAGGCACGAGCCTCTCGGTAGCAATAACACTAATAAAGGGTTCTGAATTTGGGGGTGTTTTTTTACCTAAAATTAATAGTGAAACACAGGCTATGGGAATGCTAAACCAACAACCTGCTTCCTGTGACCAGAGTTTATGTTGTCACTTGCCATTATAAATGCTCTTTGCTGACCTGTAATGCCCTGGCTGTGCTCTAGAGTACAAAATTCCTTTAGGGATCAGTGTGCTGCAGCTCCACTTCACACTAAACATTGTTTACTAGGCTGAGTCCTGTTTGCCACCTACTTACCCCATATCTTCCTGGAAATTGTACTTAGGGTGCTAAAAATGGCTCCTGAGAAACAAATGCCTGTTCCATCTAATCGCTCCTACCTGCTAGTAGCCAAGTGCCTTATTCAGGGAGGTTATGAGGATGCAGGGAACACAAACTGCCTCCCACTGCAGGCACCAGGCAGAGGATCAACCACTTCACCTGCGAGAAACTAAATAGAAAGTGAATCCTGTACCACTGACCGGCAGTTTCAGGAAAAATCCCTCTCTAATGTAAACACATTTTATATCAGATCCATCCCAGGCAGCTTCTAAAACTTGGTTAAACGCAACCCCAAATATATTCCCATACCTTTCTATATGGAAAGATAAACTGATTTCTAGGCAAACAGAAACAGAAGCTCTTCCTGCTTTTGCCTTTCCAATATCCCAAAGTACAGTCGGATCATGGATAATAAGCCAGGGTGTTTTCACACCTTCCCTGGTGAGGCCCTAGAACCACCCAGCTACAACAGAGCTCTAGAGAGAGCTCATCCTTTATAACACAAAATAACTGAAACAAAAGGCCTGTAACTTGCTTAGAACACTGAAACAAAGTTTAAGAAAAACCCCAAAAAGTCAAACATGCTTATCTAGGCAGCAAAATGACAGGTGTGAAAACCAGCCAGCTCAGCACAACGGCCTTATAAAGACCAGGTACAAAAATGCACCCTTAAAAAGACCAATAGTAAGTTAGAGGGGAAATTACTGAAGTTTAGCAAAATGTTTATAGGACAAGAAAATTGCTAACTCCTTTAGATCTGCTCCTGCTCCCTGCTTTTCCCAAATTAAACAGTGGTATCTTTGTAGCTTCTCCTTTTAGGCTTTTATTTATCTCTAAAAAACCACCATATGCCTCAGGTGCATACACAAACCTAATTGTACAATTACTTTCTTTCTGAGAGACAAGGCAAAGCCTGTTTTACTTCCCCACAAGCCTTTTAGAAAGCAAACTGCAACCTGCAATTTTTCACTGGCAGCACTTTAAAACAAAGGGCATGAGGAAAAAAAATGAGCTGGATGCTGTATCCTGTAGGATAGCAGATGTGAGCTCTGTCAGACCAAGGAGGGAGGCAAATTCCAGAGTCGCCGGTCCTT